TGAATGCTTCATCAACCGTTGATCTAACGGTATTCATCTATATTTTTCAATTCTGGTTCGCCATGCGACTGGAATTAGATCTCAAAATATACGTGAAATAGATTGATATCGTATTGTTCGTCTATGGATTTTACCGTAAGGAAACGTTTGCTGTATGTGATGAAATATCACACTTGTACTTACAGAGTATGTGTATTCGAGAAATACTAACACTATGAACAGTTCGTTGCTAGAGCCGAGAGCTAATCTAGCATCCTGTGAATGAGGTGCTCTGGAACTATGCCGCTATCCTCTGTGCGTCAAACAGGACCGAACTGATCTTCGCTACATCTTGTAAGTCTCCAACAACAAAGCGATATTACACCGAGGAAACTCATATAGAGACGATAATCAACCATTTGGTGCATTTCTCACGTTAGTGCATTTATTTTGAGATCTTTTAACACGGTCCACATACTAATTGAACCTACATAGGCGAATCTCTTAGATTTTGTGCATTTTCTGACAAAGGTAACCCAGTTTTTGACTTTCAAAAAATAGCAACGTAACCATGAGCACAACAGACATACAGGCGGTCTGTTCTTTTCTTTTTCTCACTATGTGTGTTATATATAAGTTTAGAAACATAATATAAGGTATAACACACAACAACCAAGACTCGCGCCGCGACATTTTAAAACTCCTCTACTTAGACCGCAACTCAGCGATAAAAATCGCGACTCACGACGCGACTACGCAAATACTACTGTTTATATATCTGCGATTGTCTCGGCTGGACTCACCATATCGCGAATCGTACCGCGATACAACGATAAGATAGTGATCGCGCTAAGAATATTGACCTGGTTTTTTGAAAATTCATAACTTTTCAAGTTCTGTCGCGAAATCGTGAATCTACAGCGATCGCACCGCGACATAGGACAGTATAGCGAATCTTAGACTTTTTTAAAATAAGACTGGGCCAAGGTCATGTCCAGCGCGATCGCGATGGGAATACAAGATATATTAGCGATCGCGCCGCGATATGCGGGGTTTAATAGCGATCACGCCGCGCCTGAGGAGTTGACTTGGGTTCTTGAAAATAAGAATTGATCAAGATCGCGCCGCGACTTCGCGACATTATAGCGATCGCGACGCGAATATAAGATTTCATCGCGATCGCGAAGCGATTTTTATAAATTAATTTTCTCCAGAAGTAAGAATCTATCAAGATCGCGCCGCGAGTGTAAGAGATCACAGCGATCGCGTCGCGACTTCGCGATTTTATAGCGATCGCGCCGCGACAGACGCGAATTCATAGCGATCGCGCCAAGAATGAGGCGCTAACGTTGACTTGGGTTATGTACTAGCTGAAGCGTAAAGAGATATGTCTAGTCGAAGCCATTTGTTTTCTGTTCCATGTACCTTTCGTTTCACTTTTGCTATATACGAAACTGCAAAAACCAGCTTCAGTTTCACTCTAATGAAAAGAACTTCAGCTTAATTATTCAGAGCTAGCCTTGAAAAGTTGAACAAGTGTTTCTTTACTTATACAATATTCGACTATTCATGCTGTGCCTTTTCCAGATCCATGGACGTTTCGAGTACCCATTACCTCCAAACAATCTAATCAAAGGCAAGACAAGAGGTGAAAGGAACTGATCGACCACGAGCTCAGTGGTATTGGAAATCGAGTTATGATCCATGGACAAGAAGTGGAAAAGAAGAATGGACAAAATATTCTGATATCGAATCCGAGATTATCGAAGAAGCATTTAATGGGAAAAGTAAAACAGAACTAGTTGAACTAGATAATTATTGGCTCAACCTCAAGGATTCCATTCAAATCAGTAAATTGGATCAAAATGAACAACGGCCGATAAAGAGAGTTTTAATTAAGAGAAATGAAAATGAAGGTTTAAGAGAACAAAGATTCTTTCTTCCACAACCACTGAAACCATTCAATCACGATCGCTGTTGCGATCGTGA